TGAACCTGTTCAGCCTTCAAAAGAGAAGGCTGAGGGGGGATCTTGTGGCCTGTTATAAACTGGTTAGGGGGGATCAGCAGGCGCTGGGGGAGTCCCTGTTCCCCCGAGCGCCGCAAGGAGTGACCAGGAACAATGGTCACAAGCTGGCGGAGGGAAGGTTTAAGTTGGACATCAGGAGGCGCTACTTCACAGTCAGGGCGGCTAGGGTCTGGAACCAGCTTCCAAGTGAGGTGGTGCAGGCTCCCACCCTGGGGGTTTTTAAGAGGAGGTTGGATGACCACCTTACTGAGGTCATTTGACCCCAGTGCTCTTCCTGCCATGGCAGGGGGTCGGACTAGATGATCTGCTCAGGTCCCTTCTGACCCTAGAAACTATGAAACTATAACTAGCTGGCAGGTAGCCCCTGCACTGAAGCACCACTGTACCCCAGCCAGCTGGGTCAGAGTCTACATGTGTGGTGCTGCAGCAGGATACTCCGCAGCAGTATTTACAAGTACTGCCCTGCTGCAGAGTTAGTTACCTATGGTTTAATAGGGCTGCACACGTAGACATGAGACGTGTCTTGCAGAGCTAATTAGTCTACTGTGCAATAAATGTCTCATGTAGACAGACCCAATGTGAAATTACTAGGAAGTTTGTCTAGTGCAGACACGTACTAAGACTTTTTTTCTGATCAGTTCAATTTCTGTACCTTCTGTTCTCTCAAATGGTCCAGTTTTCTTCAGTAAGACTGTTGCATGAATTACAGGATCTGTTGATATCAGAAGTGATTTTTTGTAGTGTTAATTTAGCAGTATGACTTTATAATTATGGAACATTCAGGTTAGGGTATCTGCTGGGAACAGCTTGCTACTGAAGGATTTGCAGCAGTTCCACCATTCTGCAACCTTGGGAATGGTAATAGGCTGGGAATAGCACTGTGACTCCTTTCCTGATTCTTATCTGTCCTCATACACAGCTTTAGTTGCATACTGGGAAATGTGCATCTTTTCTAGGACTCGTGCACTTGCTAGTTCATTCTGCTTATTTTCACTTACTGCTTTTTAATTCCCTTTTGAGGTTGCTACAGTCACACGGATTACATCTGCTGCTAGCTTCCATGTTTTTCCAAATAAAAACCTCTTCAGAATGATGTGTCAAATGTCTCAGTTTTCTACCTTCAATAAAAAATCCATGTGGTGTACAATATAGTGAAATAAATTTGTGTAGGAAGAGTTGAAAATGATAATTCCCTTTTTCTCCATCCTGCCCTTAATTACCTCTCCCTTTAACTTTCAGCTATTGGCATACATAACTTTTGTTTTAGGGAAAAGGACAGAATAACTTTTAGCAGAAGGACAGGATAACTGAAGTTGGAGTAGCAAGCATTACATTTATGTGCTTTTCTTTTCATATTAGAAAATTGGTGGTCTGTACTTGAGCCTCCATTGTTTCTCAAGATAGTGGAACTTTACAAGGATGTTGTGGTCCACCTTTTGAAATTGTACAAGATTGGAATCCCCACTTCTGAAAGAAGAATCTTTAGCAGTTTTCTACACACTGCTTTCAAAGTTCTGGAAATATTACATAAGGTATGTCTGAGCCAGTTCTAGCCAGTTGGTTTTTCTGAGTTTCTTATTTTGCCAGCTCTTTTGCACTTTCTCAGGTTCTTTTCTTAGCCTGGAAATGGATGTTGTCTGATGTCTGATTTTTGCCACCATGAAATTTTTTATGGTGGCACAAATGCTGAGCAAATAAAAGTGGATATCCTTTGTTGTGCCACATGAAGGGTGACAAAGGTGGTTATTGACTTTACTGCTTTATTGTGGTGGACATCTTTTACCTCTGGTACATTCCTGCATGGTAAGATGTGTGCCATTGGTCTAGCTGGGTGGGGAAAAAGCCTTGGTTCCCATGCTTAGCCAGGTGCATGTCCCGGGTCTGTTTGGGTGGGGAAAACTACTTTCCTGCACAGCCAGATCCATTCCCGATGCAGGGGAATAGGAGTTTCTCTGCCTGACCAGATCTGGGGCATGGGTCTGGCTGAGTGGGGCAATTACCATGCTTCAGCAGACTTGATTAATCAAGTCTGCTCCAATACACTGGAATTCCAGTGCGTTGGAGCAGCCTCTGCGCTCATGTATAGACACACAGGGTGACTTTTGACAACCTAACTATACAGCCTAGCATAATGGAACCTTTAATCTTGATTGGAAGCTCCATACTACATATATTAATAATAATACAAAAGAAACAGATGCCTAGACAAATCTTGAGAAGCTGCTGTGGATCTAGAGGTGGTGGCAAGGATCTGGGAGAGGAGGGGGAGCAGCAGTGGAGAGGTGTCTTGTACATGTGTCCATTTGGATGTGTGTTATACACCACCTAGCATGATGGGAGCTTGATCTTGATCAGTAGCCAGCCTTTCAAATTAGATGGCCCATGTGGGAATGGTGATTTCAGCTTCTTCCACCTTTCTAGGAAGCTAGATTGTTTTCAGACGTTGGAATAGTCAGCTAGGCAGTATGGCTGTCTATTCATAAGTTCCTGGAAGAATTAATTAGACCTTAATTGGTGGCAGACCCCAGCCCTTTAAGCTTCTGAGAGGCGGGTGTCTACTAGGTCCATTCAAGCATTTGAGTGTTCCTTCCTCTCTCCACCCTCCTTCAAATGAGTTCTTAAGTCTGAAAAAGCAATTCTTCAGTCATTGTTTAATTGTTCTTCTCTCCTCTTTAGAGGGTGGTTATTGATTAATTCCCTGAGGATTGTGACAGTATTCAAAGAAGGGAAAGAAATTGCTCACCTGTAACAGGAGCTTGCCAAATCACATGAAAATTTTCCTCATGTTCCATCCCTCTGTTTTGTGGTCTTATTGAAAACTGGAAAAGTGGATCAACAAATGCCTCCTTCTAAAATACTTCATAGGTTGATGTCTGCATGGTGCCCAGGAATCATCCTTTGACTGCTGGATAGCAATCTTTGATCCCCACACATTGCTGTATTCCTTGTGAGAATGTTCTTCTTTGCTAGACCAGTGCATCTCAGCCTTTTTAGATTCAGGACACTCCTCCACAACTTCTTAAACTTGATGGTAGCCTGCTTGAGAAATACTGTTGTGTTGTCCCTGTTTACGTCAGTGGTTCTCAACCAGGGTGATGCTGCAGCCAGGTGGAGTTGCCCTGTGGGTCTTGTGCATGGCTAGATAAGCTAGCAGGAATGCCCACTCACTGCAGTTCTGCCTGGTCCAGCCCTCCACGCTTCTCTTGGAAACAGAGGGTGCCTGAGGGTGGGGCGGCTTCTCTGACATGCTGTAATTACAGTGCTTTGGAGTAGATTCGATTTAATTGAGTCTGCTAGAGCGTGTTAATTAGTGTGCTTCAGCAGCCTTCGTGTCCCATGTATCAGAGTCCCTGAGCTTCAGAATGGCAGTGGGGACTCTTTAAAACTCATTTGACAAGTTTTAGTTAATGTGCTCCTGCTGCCATTTTGAAGTGTAGGGACACTGATATACAAGACCCTGCTGCAACTTTTTAATTAGAGTGGCTCTTGGATCTGCTCTCCCATGGAGCACATGTAAAAACGCCCATAGGTCCATGGGACAATTCTGCCTGCCCTGTGCACCTCGGTTTCAAGAAGGAGCGTGGGGGATAGGGAGGCAGAACAGAAAGGACTGCAGCAAGCTGGGAACTCCTACCTGCTTTAAGTTAACAGATGACTATAATGCAGGTAAGACTGTGTGCCTCATGCCACAGCCCTTCCTGATCTGACTTGTTCATGAGATGTGTGGGGCAATTCTGCCTGTTTGCAGCAGTGGCAGCACCTGTGTCATGGCACCCCCGAAAATGTCTTGCATCACTGTGGCTGAGAACAAGTGTGCTAGACCTCCAGAATCAGTCCAGTCCAGAAGACATTTTACATCCTCAGGTCATGCTTTTTGACATATTGCACCACCGTTATCCTTGATGCAGACCTTAGAAATGAGAAGTATGGTTTTTAAAGAACTCTGATTTTCCTGTGTATTACCCTAGTGCTATTTGGCAGGATATTGCAGATGTCCTAGAGATTACTCAGTGGTTAGAGACTTAAAGTCCAAAGTGACAGTATGACTGAAGTTATACTGTGGAAGAGAAGCAATATGGCTTTAATTTCCACAATATGAAAAATACAAAAGCATATTCTTTTAAAGATCCCCTAAGATCTCTTCATTGTTATTTCCCTTTGCTGCACAGCACTATTAGAGAGGTTGGATTTTTTTTCTTTTTAATTCGGGCATAGTAAGTGGAATAAAAGACAACAGGAGGAGACTTTAAAATCATAGCAGCTCCTCCAGTATTTTTGTGTTCATCTCTTCCGTTCTTGTGTCCAGGGCAAGTGAGCTTTTATGAGAGGTCTTTCTTGTACATTTTAGAAAAATCTAGGCAACCATCCCAATGCCTTGTCAGTATACAGTGTTAAAAGGCCATATGCACTGATCATGAGCTTGTAGAGAGATGTCCTGGGATGCCTTACTGTACTGAAACCTAAGCTTGTAAGAAAGACGGATTGGGCACTCTAGTTACACAGACAAGACTGGGAGAATCTGGGTTTCTGGCAAGTAAAAGTTTGTTTCTTTCAAGAAGAAAATGGTGCACTAGCATATGCCATAGAGAAGGTAGATGTAGCTAATTTATTTGTTTACATGAATCTCTTGAAAGCAGCCATGTTACTAACTGCTTACAACTGAATTAAAAATTACTCTTTAAAGAGGATGTTTCCTGTATTCCCTCCCTTTTTTATTTTCTAAGCATAACATTATTTTTTATTTTTAACTATTTAGTCAAAGACAATACTAATATATAGTTTTTTGGTGACTGAAGGCTTTAAATCTTAGTCATTTAAATGGGAAGATGATATAAAAATATAGCTAATTTAAAGCTAAATTTAATTTATTTAGGTAAATGAGAGAGGACAAATTATACAGTATGATAAATTCTACATTCATGAAATTGAAGAGTTGATTGACATCAGAAATGACTATATCAACTGGGTCCAGCATCAGGCATATGGAATGGTAAGAGAGCCATTTATTTTATTTTAAAATTTGACAACAGCTTCTCTCTGATCAGCAGGTATTCTATTTTTCTTCTATTCATAGATATATCTTCACAGGCTTATGGTGGCTTCACTGTTGATTTTGATCATGGGGTACACAGTTGAACAAGAGTAATTAAAGATAATGAAAATTTTAGTAGGGAAAACCATGAAAAGTATATCTATATGGCACAATGCAGTGCTATAAAGGATAGCATAAGCTAGTTTTGAGGAACCTTACAAGTGAAGGCAGATACTTTATTTGCAGTGGAGAAAGGGGCAGCATCCTGAGTAGAGCAAGATGGAGTTGTATATTTCTTGACCAGAAAGAAGGATGTTGCAATACTTGTCATATGAGACCAAAAAATACATTGTGTTAAATGATTTAAGGAGCTCAGTCTTTTGCTGATCAAACAGAAAATGGAGAGGTAACTTAACTTTTTGCAATAAAGTATTGTAAATGTAACCATACAAATCTCTCTTAGTTATACTTTCAGATTGAGGAGCCCTGCTTATTAGGGCTGTGTGAAGCTTCGGTCACTGATTTGATTCGGAGAAGATTCAGCTTGATTCGGTGGCTGAATCTCTGAATCTGAATCGAATCAGAAGCATCCAATTCAATTTGGAGAGATTCAACCATCAGGCATAGACACAGCTTTAAATGTTTTTTCTATATACCTCAAGGTACCAGGTGGCTCATGAATGCTGAGATGGTGGGGCAGATGGAGTGTCCCACGGGAGCACAGGGGGGTGCCCAGCATGCTTGATGGCGGATCTGGAAGTGGACCAGAAGCACTTCCGGTCCACTTCTGGGTCACCGCAGAATATGTGGGGGACCCCCCAGCTCGGCAGCTGGTGCCTCCTGGGTCTGGGGGGACACCTGGGGTTCCCCCACAGTCAATCCTCGAGCTAGGGGGGTGTGGGGGGTATCCCCTGCGTGCTTGGCAGTGGACCCAGAAGTGGACCAGAAATACTTCCAGTCCACTTCTGGGTCCACCGCTGAGCACATGGGGGGTGGGGGGAAGGGGAGGACGACGACACGTTCCTTTGGGATGCTCTATCTGCCCCACCATCTCAGCATTCACGAGTTGCACCTGGTACCTTGAGGTGCGTAGAAAAAACATATAAAGTTGTGTCTATGGCTGAATCGGAATTGAATTTTCAGATTCAGCCGAATCGAATCGCTGTCCCCTGAATTGGGCCAAATCCGAATCAAATACCGGCCACTTCTCGCACCCCAACTGTTTATTACTTGATGTCTTCTGGGCAGTTCCATCTTGTGTTCTCATACAACTTTTTGGTTTATTTGTTTTTTGTTTGTTTGCTGTTTGTTTGTTTTTTAAAGAACACACCACATTCTTTTTGTATAGAGTTCCAGGCCCTAATAGTCCATTCACATGGGAGAGGAAGAGGTTGTAGCACATGTGTCTAGTTGGCATCAGCTGTTCCGTGCATTTGCAACATTCACAAGCCATCTGATAAAGATTTTTAAGTTTATCTTTAAACAGCTTTTTCACAGACATTTAGTGCCTGAAGTTGTGATGTCATCTCACTTGAAATGATAACCAGGTCTATCTTTTGGTTATGCAGCTTGTGTGTGTGTGTTTTTCTTCAAACTGCATTGGTGTGTGTTCTTCAAATGTCCAACTGTTATTTTTTTCCTACTTTAAAATGCAGGCCATTTTCAGGAGATCAGTTGGGTATTATATACTGCATTTGTAAATTCAAAGGAATGTGGTAAATCTCTTCTCTTGTGTTCAATTTTTTTAAATGCCTTTCTGTTCAACCTGTAATTCCAAATTCTGCATTTTGTCCTAGCAAGGTCAAAGTCTGTCAGGGCTTTTGTACCCCTGCATACGCTGCAATGCATGCATTTGTATAACTGGCAAAATGCGCATCAATGCTGAGAAAATGGCAGTGACACACTTTTGAACTAAAACATATTAAAGGTATTTTAGTTCAAAAGTGCACCGCCGCCATTTTCTGTGCACATTTCACCATTTATACAAATGCATGCAGTGCAGTACCGGGTGTATCAGCTTGTGTCTTCCGCAGACTTGATTAATGAAGTCTGTTCCAATGTGCTGGATTTTCGGCGCATCACAGCAGACGGGTACATGTATAAATGTTCTCAGAGACTAATGATCTGTTGGACAGCTGGTATGGTTAGTATGAAAGGGGCTTGATTATATGGCTGTTATCACCTCAATTTATTGACGTCTTTGAGATGCACTTTTTCATCCTTTTTCTTTGTTAATGAAAATGCTTCAGTGGTGACTATGTTTTTGCTTTTAGGCTCTGTAAAGATTTGTTAATCAAACTTCTGTTAACCTCAGCATATGAAGTAGCCATACTTTTGTGACGGCTCAGTTGAAAATGCACATATCCTTGCACATGGAGATAAGTGGAAAATTCTAGGGAGGTTTTTTTTTTGTTTTTTTTTTGCTACAGTCGTCATATTTGCTGAGTAGACCTTGGCTTACATGAGCCATGACTTCTTTTCTTTTCTTTTTTTTCCATAGATAGGTGATCCATAATACAACTGACACTTCGGCTTGTCTCTTTTTTTAAAACCTGCAGTTATGTAGGTGATCCTAGATTCTTGTTGCAAAAGTATTCTTTGGCTGTGGTACAGAGTAATTTGCCTGAAAATAGTCTGTTGGGTTACATACCTGGCAAGATCTGGCAAACTTTTTCCAATACTTAATGAACTTTCTCTTAAAAACAATTGATTATTCAGAATCAGCTTTGTTCTAAGTAGTATTTTGGTTCTGGGTTCTGCTTTGGTTAATCAGCTGATTCTGGGGAGAGACTTTTGAAATATACAATGTATGGCCATTTCTTTATTTTCACCTCTCCTTGGCTGAAATACAATTGAAATATTCTGTGGTTAGATTTTAATTGGAAGTTTGGGTAGTTTTTCATAATTTAAATCTTCCAGCTGTTTAATTTTATCAGAGGAAAAATGAAAATGTCCTCTCAAAAAGATCATCTAGTAGTACCTTTCAGAGAGAATGGAATATACTGTGATCCCAGGCAGTGTGCCTTATACTTAAGAATGTACTGTGACCACAGGTAGTATATCCTATACTTGGAAAACATTGCTTGTAAGTTTCTTGAGCTCTTACCATCTGAGTCGGAGCCCCATCAGTGCTTACCTTCAGTGGTAAGACAAAACAAGATAGGATCTAAAAATAAAGTATTAATTTCCAGAATTGTTCTAAATAATTGGGATATTGCCTGAAGGAAACCATCAGTGAAAAGCACGATTAGGAGAGAAAAGAAGAGAAGTTAGGAATCCACAAAACTCCATGAATATGCATTTCTCTGTCTTATGTGGAGACCTTGTTAGGTTCTTATCTTTTCCCATTAAGGAATTTAAAAAAGGCCTTGGTAGATAGTCAAAGTTATAATAACCTCTGCAAGTTCCATATTCAGACAATTCTGGTGGTACTTATGTATCATTGTTTTAATCTTTTTTTTAAATTGTTGTAATTGGTTTATATTTCCTGGTCTTGACAAGAACCTTTCTCATTCAGCAGTGGGTGAGGAAAACAAGCCAAAAACAGACTTATAAGTTATATCCTAGTATTATACTTTTCATATACAATTTCTTCTCTAATTATTTTAGTACAGTAGAACTACAAATAGTGGAAGCATAATACACCTGATTTCATGTCTTTGTGCTTTTGCACATGCAGTCTGAATGTGTTGTATTAAAATGTTGTTGCTCTAATGTTCTGTAATATCTTGACAAATGAGAATACATAGAGCTTGGTTTCTGCATAGCTATGCAGCAGGCAGGTATAAAATGCCAGCATTTTTAAAAGCCAGTATCATAGGTTTGGCTACAGTGTGTGGGTTAATCCCAATTAAACATTATGGGGTTTTTTGCTTTCCCTGGTAACTCCTTTAAAAATACTGTAGCTAAATATTTGAAGTGCTGCTTCCAAGAGGAATAATTAATGCAGACACTAATGCTGCTTTTTCATCTTAATTATTGCTACGTTTGTGCAATGCTGTCATAGGACATCAATCATGGATTAACAGAGGTAAGATTGGTTGTAATCTAGTTGCTGTTGAAGGGTGCAAGGAAATCAGAAATTAAGATATATGCCTGTGAATTTTAATTTTAGACTACAACTTTTAAGTATATCTTTTAATGAGCATGAGTATAATCAGAAATGTGACCCTACAAAATTCCCTTGATTAAGTAAACTTATGAAGTTGTAAATTGAATTCTTCTGATGTCATAAATGTCAAAGAGTTTAAAGTAGAATCATTTTTTGATGCCACTTTTCAAACCAAACTGAAACTTTAAGTACCATTTCAGAACTCTGCATGCTAATATTTTTCTCTCTTTGGTTCTAGCTAGCAGAGATTCCAGTTACAATTTGCACATACCCCTTTGTGTTTGATGCACAGGCAAAAACTACACTCTTGCAAACAGATGCAGTCTTACAGATGCAGGTAAGCGTATTTCACTTAAAAAAAAATCCTAAAAGGGATAACAATGTTCAAATACTGTGAAAACCAATGTTTCTTGCTTTTTATATACAGGTAATTTGAGGGTATAAATAGAAATAGTTCTACTCTTTTCTCTTTTTTCCCCCCCTCCCCTTTTTTGGAATTTTGTGCCTGCTTGAAATCGTATACCTTTGATAATCACAAACATAATTGTGTTTGTAGGACACTTCTCTCCTCTCCTGTTTCACTAGTTAGATGGTGTTTTTCTGTTAAAACTTTGCTTAAAACCGTATTTCTCAGTTGAAAATGCACATATATCCTTGCACATGGAGATATTTGGGAAATTCTAGGGAGTATGTGAGAGGAAAGAATGGGAAGGTAGGAAGAGGAAAGGAGAAAATACATAGAAGGAATGGAGAACAGAAAGACAAATGAACAAAACTTGTATTGTATCTTAAGGTTCGGGACATAAATTACACATAATTTGGTATAAGTGATCGGAAACTGGTTCAAATCTATAACACAACAGAAGTTCAGTGCACATAAACCGCTTTCAAAATGACCAAAACCAGTTTTAAGGTAAACCTGCCTGGATGTAGCATCAACCTTAACTGATCTAGGTTAAATCAGTTTATTGAACTTCTTTCCCAGATCCCCCCCAGGTTGAAGTTAACTCATAGTCCCCCAGCTTCCCAGGATACTTTGCACCTCCCTGCAATCTCCCTTGCCCCTTGGCAGGATGGGCAGGGTAGCCTTTACCCAAGCTGTCTGCCCCAGCAAAGCAGGGAGGGAGACATGCTCTAGTGCCCCCGCAACTTCTGGCATAGGCCACTGCAGGCATGTGCCTGCATTTCCGGAATCAAAATTGAATGTTTGTTCACTTGCTTATCAGTGTAATCTACGCAGCATAGACTAACCTGCAAAGATTGGATCAATTCAACCTCAGACTTTTTGACTGTACTTAGCTTAAGTGGTTGGAGAGACTACAGTTTGTTTTTAGTGACACGGGTTACTTTTTATTATCCATAATATGGAATCAGAGGGATACAGAGTGCTAAAACGTTAAAAGGGTGTGTGATTCAAAAGGTTAAGGAATCACTGAGCTATTCCAATCCATGAAAGGCATGGTTTATCTGTATCTGTAATACAGTGAGAAAGTCTAGACTTGATAGTTTTAAACGTATCTTTTGTGGGGGGTGAAAACAGATTTAATAGTCTGTAAAAATCATTGCAATTTATACATTTTGCTGTTAATCACAGTTAATGCTAATTAGTCATTGGCTATTTTCTTGTTTAATGCCATTATCCATTATATTTTCATATTGTGCAGTTTCTGCTAGTACCGAGTCCAGTTTTGCTTTTACTCTGGATAAAATTAATCTATAACTGAGTGTTTGGTGCAGGGAGAGGGAGTATAAATGTTTTATAATTTACCACTGGTAGAGTTTTTTGTTCCTTTGTTTTTCTGTTTTCCTAGGAACACTGAAATAACCTATCTGGTACTAATGCTTAAGCTGTAGGCTGGTGCTTGTTTATGATAATAGGGTCATTATTATTATTTTTTTAATACTGACATATATCGAGGGGATGGAATGAGTGAAGGAATGCTAAAAGAAAGCTATTCTGGCGTAATAGTTCATAGATTTCATAGACTGTTAGGGTCAGAAGGGACCTCAGTAGATCGAATATGACCCCCCTGCCCAAGTACTCCATCCCTTAAACCCTCCCATCCCTTGTTTTATGTTATCTCTTTTATACTGGTTTGCTTATAGTGGAAATAACTAATGTCTTGAAGTTGGAGTTAGATGGAAAAAGGAGAATCTGTGCTTGTACCAAATATATATGGTATTTACAAATCTTGTACTTGTCATTAGTGCTGAACAATCAATCAGGAGATATCCAATGAACAGAAAAATAAGAGGGGAATTTAAGAAAAATGTTCACCCTGTTTTTGTTTCTTTTCACAGAAATGGTAATATTTTAAGTGCATCTTAGTTGATATTTAAGCAGCTTTTAGGAACTCTGTACTCTTAATTAGTATAAGCCCAATAATATTTTGTTTAGAGTGATCATGTGTTTGGCAGGAGTGGAAGAAAATATACCTGAGGTGGGGAAATGTAAAAAAAAAAAAAAAAATTTTTTTTGAATAATTTCTTAATGTATATTTATAGTAGATAAATTAGATGCCATGGCAGAAGTGCTTATGGTGTGGCCTGTCAGATTCCAGTGAATCTGTGCATTGTGCTAAATACCTTGACACAAGGACACGAAAAGGGAAAGGAAAAGATGAGTTGTGATGTTGCTTTGTTTTGTATGCAATTTAAAAAAAAAATTGAAGTATAAATCAGTGCTTAAGATTTACTACACACTTCACTATTGATGCTAAGGTGATAGAAAGGTGTATAGTGGTGGTTAGCTGTGTTAGTCTGAAGTCAGGCAGAATACAGGCATACCTAGTTTTATTGCGCTTCGCTTTATTACGCTTTGCAGATACTGCTTTTTTTACAAATTGAAGGTTTGTGGCAACCTTCATTGTTGTCTTATTTTAAGAAATTGCCACAGCCACCCCAACCTTCAGCAACCACCACCCTGATCAGTCAGCAGCCATCAGCATGGAGGCAAGACCCTCCACCAGCAAAAAGGTTATGACTCGCTGAAGGCTCAGATGATGGTTAGCATTTTTTAGCAATAAAGTATTTTTTAATTAAGGTATGTACATTGTTTTTTTAGACATAATGCTATTGCACACTTAATAGACTACAGTATAGTGTAAACATAACTTTTATATGCACTGGAAA